CCCCCCCCCCCCCGCACACACTCTGTATGCACCACCCCACTGCCTGGCATCACGCTCCCAGCTCTCCCTTCCTCACGCTCCACGCCCTGATGCAGCCCTCTCCCCTCTCTGGCCCACAGGTTCTGGGCAGAGAAAATCCGACTGGCAGATTTCTAATGCCTCCGACATCTGACATCCCCTTGCCAGGTACAAGCCAGGCAAGGGGGCAGCTGGTGGCAAGAGAAGGGTCCGCGGGATTCTGTTCAGCCCAGACCTACATCTCCCTCTACCCGCAGCGACCCTCTCCAGGGCCCAGCCCACCGCCCCCAGCCTGGAGCATTGGGACAAAGGAAGCGTAATGAGCAATTATTCCTCATCCAGCTCCCCGCCCTTTGCCAAATGTATTAACATCTAAGGTATAATTGCCGCCACGTCTCTAAACCACAGCGAGCTTTAATTAAGGTAGATTTTAAGTAGAGGCTGCATTCTGCAAAAAAACCCATTATGTATCATACGCTACAAAAAAAATAGACATACAAAAAAGCCCCATAAGAAACTGGCATTTACGTAAGACTTATTTCAGGCTTGTTAATTTCAGGCTCCTTAAAGGGCCACCTGCTCCCAGTGAGAAGCTTGAGAGAGCACCACCCCCTTGCACACAGCAGGTGCCTAATGGGGGTTTCTTTGGTCTATACCTTGGAGACAATGACTCTTTATCTCTTTTTATTTCCTTACTCTCCTTTTTGTAATTTCCTCAGGACTCATTTGACCCCCCCCCCCATCTTTGGAGTGTCCTTGATGTATACGAACCGGAGATGACTAGGAAGGTTTTTTACCCACTGCCTGAAATTCCACCATCAGGGCTCCATTCATTTCAGAGATAGAAGCCAGTCCTTGTCAGCAGTCAGAAGGGGGAATCATTGTCCTTGGAGTCCTAGCTGCAATGAGTCACTGATTCCCCCCTCCACCAGTGTGAGCAGAAACCCCATGAGAGCCATCCCCTCCCTGCCAGCTGCTGAGAGCCCATCCTGGAGGGAGAGGGCTTCTGATGAGCCTGGGACTCAGCCAAGGAAGTCTGGCTTGGGTGGGAAGCGAGCCCCCTCTGCAAAGATGTTGGACAGCGGTGAGGAAATGAACAGAGAAGGGGGACAGGCTTGGGAGGCCCAGTGACGATACCCAACTCCCACCTCCTCTCCATGCCCCCTTCTCCGGTTCCACCCTCACCAAGAGCCCCGTGCTTGTCTTTCCCTTTGGACCCGGTCCACACCCAGCTGTATGCATGGACAGGGCTTCCAGGTTCCAAGCGCAGCCCTTCCAGAAGCTCTATCTTCATTACTTCCAATCCTCACATCCTCGATGCCTGGAAGTAGGAATGATGCTCCCCGTTTCACAGATGAAGAACCTGGGAGATGAAACAGCTGCCCAAGGTCATCACTAATAGCTAGCCGAGCTGAGACTGGAGGGCAGGTTACCCACCACCTCCCGCCACCCTTTCCTTTGGATACCCTGCCACCCCTGGCCTCCCCCAGCGGTCCACAGCTGTCTGAGAGACCCGTGCTCATTTCTGGGTTCTGGGAAGTTAGTTGGCTGGTTGGGTTTGCAGGAGGCTGTTGTCACTGTTGTTGGCGTGGGAAAGGCATGAGCTCGGTGCTTTCCATGAGTATTTGAACCTGTGCCAACCTTCCCAGACGGGCTCCATGGCTATCCCCACCGGATGGACAAGGAAGCAGAAGCTCAGAAACGTTAATTAAGTAATTTGCCCAAGGCCACGCAGATGCCAATTGGAATAGCTGGAATTAGAGCCATGCGACAAGGACTTGGCGCCAGAAGTTCATGTGGGAAGTGGTCCCAGGAAACACAACGAGGGGTGGGAGTAGAGGACAAGGAAAGGAGGAAACCGATAAAGGCTAAGTGATGAGCAGGCTTCCATGGGGCAACACGTAGAGGAGTCTCAGAATTGACCCCTGGTCGGGAATCAGGGTTACTTACCCATATGCTTCACGCCCCATCAGTGGAGGTTACCCTGGGGACCTTGAATCCCCACATTTCCAGCTCCCCTCTCCCCGTTTTCAGGCTGAGCTAGCTCCCCTGGCACCAGAGAAAGCCCCAAGCTGAGAACTGTCCCCTGCAGCTACAGGTGAATGGTGTGTGGCACATGAGGTCTGTCCGGTGAAAGCCTTGCCTCTTTGTTCCATGGGTGGTGTCTTCCCCAGCAATATCCCGGCTGCCCCTATTCCAAATGTAGATCCCGGGGCCTCCACCTGCCACTGGGAATCCCTGGGGTGTGTCCAAGAGCGGCATTTGGAACAAGCGCCTTTGATGTGCATACTCTAGTGGGAAAACCCTGGTGTCCAGGGGCCTTGTGAGCAGGGATGTGAGTTGTCTGGGCATTCTCTGTGGCCCAGCCAGGACCATGAACGCAGCAGGACTCAGGACTTGGGCCCTTGAGACGCACTAGGCTCCACAGATCCAGGGGGACAAGCAGGCTCGGCTCTGTTGCTGGACTTGGTGAATGTGTGCTACAAGGAGCTGAGATGTGATGGCAGCACCCCAATACCCAGAGCTGGAGGGGAGCAGAGGACACCCCCAAAGGCTGGGACTACCTCTCCCAGCCTGGGTTTAAAGGACAGGAGGAACCGTGTCTGAAGCCAAAGGAGGAAGAGATGTCAGTCCTCCTTCCTCCCTCCCTGCCCTCCTCTGCACACGCGCAGACAGGGAGGGTTTGGAAACCAGGTGGGAGGGCGGTGTCAGTGGATCCCTGGGGAAGGGAGGAAGGTGCCTGCAGTGAAGTGAGGTGGAGAAGATGTTGTAAAGGGGGAGGCTGGGAACCAAGCCCAAAAGGAAAGAGT